AATGTAAAAAAACATGCGCAAAAGTGCATTCGCAACAACGTTCTTAAAAACACGAAATACAACACTAGGACTTTAATACCCATAACCAAACAACAGCAAGAACACTAGATACAAAAGATACAGTGGAGTTTAGAAATAACACTCAACGTTTACGTTTACGCCGATTTTTTTATGGATTAATTTATATTTCTGTTTTAATTGGTGGATTTAGTATTCTAAAGTTACAAATTTATAATGAGGTGTCCATGAAGCAAAAATGATCAAAGAGTAAGAAAAAGAGTTGCAATTAGGAAAATAAAATAAAATTAGAAGAGAGGATCCCTCAACATCTTCGGTAGTGTCCACGAAGTCGAGCATAACTTTTTCATCTGGACTCCAAATCAACTGGTTCCAGCGGCATAAGAAAGCTATTTCATCTGGCTACAATTCCTGTCTAATGTCAAATTTCCAAATTCGGACTCGAACATGGTCAAAATTGATTTCCAAAAGCGATCATGAAAATACCCGCTCCAGTTCGAGGACACGAATGCCCATCAAGAAACGTGCTCAAAAACACTCGCTACAAAAGATACGCACATAAGTAAAAGTACAAAATCATGCACAAAAGTACTCACGCAAAAGTGCATTCGCAAAAAGGTTCATGAAAACACAAACTACAATCCTAGGACATTAATACAAATCAACAAACATGCACAAACACACTCGTTCAAATGGACATGCACAAACGTACAGGTAAAAAAACATGCGCCAAAGTGCAGTCGCAACAACGTTCTTAAAAACACGAAATACAACGCTAGGACTTTAATACGCATAACCAAACAACAGCAAGAACACTAGATACAAAAGATACAGTGGAGTGTAGAAATAACACTCAACGTTTACGTTTACGCCGATTTTTTTATGGATTAATTTATATTTCTGTTTTAATTGGTGGATTTAGTATTCTAAAGGTACAAATTTATAATGAGGTGTCCATGAATCAAAAATGATCAAAGAGTAAGAAAAGAGTTGCAATTAGGAAAATAAAATCAAATTAGAAGAGAGGATCCCTCAACATCTTCGGTAGTGTCCAGGAAGTGGAGCATAACTTTCTCATCCCGACTCCAAATCAACTGGTTCAGGCGGCATTAGAAAGCTATTTCAGCTGGCTATAATTCCTGTCTAATGTCAAATTTCCAAATTCGGACTCGAACATGGTCAAAATTTGATTCAAAAAGCGATCATGAAAATACCCGCTACAGTTCGAGGACACGAATGCGCATCAAGAAACGTGCACAAAAACACTCGCTACAAATAATACGCACATAAGTAAAAGTACAAAATCATGCACAAAAGTACTCACGCAAAAGTGCATTCGCAAAAAGGTTCATGAAAACACAAACTACAATCCTAGGACATTAATACAAATCAACAAACATGCAAAAACACACTCGCTCAAATGGACATGCACAACGTACATGTAAAAAAACATGCGCAAAAGTGCATTCGCAACAACGTTCTTAAAAACACGAAATACAACGCTAGGACTTTTATACGCATAACCAAACAACAGCAAGAACACTAGATACAAAAGATACAGTGGAGTGTAGAAATAACACTCAACGTTTAATTGGTGGATTTAGTATTCTATAGGTACAAATTGATAATGAGGTGTCCATGAAGCAAAAATGATCAAAGAGTAAGAAAAGAGTTGCAATTAGCAAAATAAAATCAAATTAGAAGAGAGGATCCCTCAACATCTTCGGTAGTGTCCAGGAAGTGGAGCATAACTTTCTCATCCCGACTCCAAATCAACTGGTTCAGGCGGCATTACAAAACTATTTCAGCTGGCTATAATTCTTGTCTAATGTCAAATTTCCAAAATCGGACTCGAACATGGTCAAAATTTGATTCAAAAAGCGATCATGAAAATACCCGCTACAGTTCGAGGACACGAATGCGCATCAAGAAACGTGCACAAAAACACTCGCTACAAATGATACGCACATAAGTAAAAGTACAAAATCATGCACAAAAGTACTCACGCAAAAGTGCATTCGCAAAAAGGTTCATGAAAACACAAACTACAATCCTAGGACTTTAATACAAATCAACAAACATGCACGTCAAAATCACTGACCACCGCTATACATTATTTGCACCAAAGGCGAATCCCTCGCGCCAAGGGCCCCTATCCCTTGGCCCGACAAGGATTGATGCCGATATACATTATTTGATACACCATCGATCATTTATGTTTTTAAGAAAAAGTTTGCACTATGCATTCAAATCATATTATTATAAAATCATATATATACCAAGTAATGCGTACTAAAATATTTACTAGATTTGATATTTATTGACAATTATACAATGTCGTTGAGGTTTGTGAGTATTTAAATTAGGTAAAATTATAGTAAGATGAATTTATCTTTTTTTCCTTTTTGGATTCTTTATTCTTTAGTATTTAAGATGGGAAAAAACCATTTTTTTTTCTTTTTTTTTTTATTATTATTTTTTTCTTTTTTGCAAAAATGAAAGTGAAAATTAATGGTATCACTCATTATTGAGAAAATTATACGTCATATTTGAATTACTTATTCTAAGTTGTCTCCCTTATTACGTCCCTCCTATTGTTGGTATTGTTCATATTTATATATATAGTACATGTTAATACGACATCTAGTACACGTAAATGTTACTGAAAGTACAACTGTGTGCGAGATGTGGTACTTTGGAAACTTTAAAACAAATTAAATATGTCAAAATCACTGACCACCGAGATACATTATTTGATACACCATCGATCATTTATGTTTTTAAGAAAAAGTTTGCACTATGTATTCAAATCATATTATTATAAAATCATATATATACCAAGTAATGCGTACTAAAATATTTACTAGATTTGATATTTATTGACAATTAGACACACCATCGATCATTTATGTTTTTAAGAAAAAGTTTGCACTATGTATTCAAATCATATTATTATAAAATCTTAGTAGTTTGGATATTTTTTTTTCTTTTTCTTTTTATTATTATTTTTTTCTTTTTTGCAAAAATGAAAGTGAAAATTAATGGTATCACTCATTATTGAGAAAATTATACGTCATATTTGAATTACTTATTCTAAGTTGTCTCCCTTATTACGTCCATTCACGGCTTATAATATAAAATTGGGTTAACAGCAGTTTGCGCCTCTAAACTTAGGTCGTTTTTGCACTTGGCCCCCCAAACAAAAAAAATTGGGACGTTTTCACCTTTTCACGCGGCGGCGCTAGGGTTTGAGAATATTCACGAGTGGAAATGTAATTTTACGAGAATGTTAGGGCTGAGTTTATTATTAAAGGAAAATGGGAAGAAATGAATGGGTGCAGCAAACAATATTTTTAAAATTAGTGGGATAATATCTTATATATAAAAGAAAGAAACGATAGGCAACCCTAAAAAACACTAGTGGTACTGTAATTATTTATTTTTAATATTTTTTTCTCTACTAATTTCCCACGTATTGACAACGTTTTCGGGCAGATTGTGTCACCTGGTGGCGCTGAAGATTTAATTACAAAATTCACCACTATGTAATCTCTAATTCTAAGATTTACGATTCGATTCATACAATTTTCATTTTCTTTTTTGTCGCTCTTAAGGGATAAATAAGAAACAAAATATTATTTAAAACATAAAGCGAAATAAATCCTGACAAATTATATGCGGATATAACATTCAAGTCTTATAATATAAAATTGGGTTAACAACAGTTTGCCCCCTAAACTTAGGTCGTTTTTGCACTTGCCCCCCAAACAAAAACAATTGGGACGTTTTCACCTTTTCACGCGGCGGCGCTAGGGTTTGAGAATATTCACGAGTGTAATTATCCGAGAATGTTAGGGCTGAGTTTATTATTAAAGGAAAATGGGAAGAAATGAATGGGTGCAGCAAACAATATTTTTAAAATTAGTGCAATAATATCTTATATATAAAAGAAAGAAACGATAGACAACCCTAAAAAACACTAATGGTACTGTAATTATTTATTTTTAATTTTTTTTTCTCTACTAATTTCTAACTTCCCACGTATTGACAACGTGTTCGGGCAGATTGTGTCACCTGGTGGCGCTGAAGGTTTAATTACAAAATTCACCACTATGTAATCTCTAATTCTAAGATTTACGATTCGATTCACCCATTCTAAAGGAGACTTCAGGACATAATTCATGTAGCCAAATTAAGACTTTACCAATCCAAAACTCGTAATATAGTAAAAAATTCGAACTTTTTAAAATTTAACTAAATTCTTGAAACGAAACTGGTTTTTAATTAAGAATTCGAAACTTTTGGTAGTTAAAAAAAAAAAAAATTGTCCTAAAAAAAGATCAAGAAAATTTAATACAAATTGTCCTCAATTTTGCAGAATAATAAATAAACGCCCCCTTGTCAGCCATCATCTTCCTCATCTTCATCCAGGACTAGACACTGCTCCGGCTCGGGTCGAGGTGGGAAGGGTATCGGATCTTCTGGAAGGGTCGAGGTGCATCCCAAAAGTTCGAGCATGATTTTCTTGACCTTGTAGTCCCATATCAAATGGGATTCCTCAGCTTCCTTCCACTTTGCCTTGTACTCAATCCACTCGGCGTCCTTGTCCACTTTAGCCACCTTCTTCCCCTTCCGGTTCCCCCGAGCCGGTGTGTCTTCCTCCCTTTTACAAACACGCGAAAGTTCCTCGAGAGTTTCATCCTAACCACAGTTGTGCTTCATCAAGATCTCCATGTTTAGATTAAAATCCTTGTAGCCCATCTCCTCCAGTTGGCTATTGAGTTCCACCAATTTCTGGAAATCAGAACTTGATTCCATTTTATGAAAGGAATTAGATCTGTAAAAAAAGGAGTTCGGTATTCAAGAACTTGACCTAAAAAATGGCTAAGTCACCACATCATCAAATGTTTCTTAAATAAATAGATTACCCCAGAACTTGACCCCAAAATAAAAGATAACAGTGCTAGGGACAATTCTTAAAAATGAGTTCTTGTTCAAAGTCAAGCAAGAGATTGGAGATAATTCGAACTAAAAATCAAATTTCTGAAATCCACGCGAAGAACAAGTCAATTCGGATCAAAATTGAAAAATCCCCAAAAACTGAAATTAGGGTTCTTACCAATAGTGCAATCATACAAACAAAAATGGCTAAGTCACCACATCATCAAATGTTTCTTAAATAAAAAGATTACCCAAGAACTTGACCCCAAAATAAAAGATAACAGTGCTAGGGACAATTCCTAAAAATGAGTTCTTGTTCAAATTCAAGCAAGAGATTGGAGTTAATTCGAACTAAAAATCAAATTTCTGAAATCCACGCGAAGAACAAGTCAATTCGTATCAAAATTGAAAAATCCCCAAAAACTGAAATTAGGGTTCTGACCTTGGGTGTAGGCCTGGAGAATCGGGAGGCGCAAGTGGTGGTGGTCGTCGGAGAATTGGGAGGCGCTACTACTGGTGGTGGTCGTCGGAGAGCCGAGATGCGCTAGTGGTGGTGGTCGTCGGAGAACCGGGAGGCAGTGGTGGTGGTGGTCTCGGAGAAGGCGCTGAATCGGGAGGCGCAAGTGGTGGTGGTCGTCGGAGAATTGGGAGGCGCTACTGCTGGTGGTGGTCGTCGGAGAGCCGAGATGCGCTAGTGGTGGTGGTCGTCGGAGAACCGGGAGGCAGTGGTGGTGGTGGTGGTATCGGAGAAGGCGCTGAATCGGGAGGCGCAAGTGGTGGTGGTCGTCGGAGAATTGGGAGGCGCTACTGCTGGTGGTGGTCGTCGGAGAGCCGAGAGGCGCTAGTGGTGGTGGTCGTCGGAGAACCGGGAGGCAGTGGTGGTGGTGGTCTCGGAGAAGGCGCTGGTGGTCGGATTGCTGAGAGAGAGAGTCAGGAAATTGGGGTTCGAAGTAATTTTAATAAATTTTGAGTTTTTGACTTTTGTATATTATATATATTATTTTTATAATTACATATATTATATATTATATATAGTAATAAATATTAATATTATAATTAGAAAAATCAGAAATAATCGGAAATAATCGGAATAATTTCGGATCGGAAATTCCGAAATTCTGTTATGTATTTCCGATTTCGATCCGATTTTTTTCGGAATTTTCGGAAATCGGAATTCGGAATTGAAAAGGTCGTTCCAAAATCGGAATATTTCGGATCGGATTCGGCGGAAATCGGAATTTCCGTTCCAATTTCCACCCCTAGCAGATTGTGTCACCTGGTGGCGCTGAAGGTTTAATTACAAAATTCACCACTGAATGTCGACCCCTAAATCTGTACTAATTTTTCAATTCACGGTGCTATTTGGTGTGATTTTCTTGGTGTGTAGCACTTTTGGTATCTATTATAGTGAATAATAATTTGTTTTTTTTTTTTTTTTTTTTTTTAAACAGGTTTTAGATGGATTTGTCGATCGAGATATTTTTGTTCCTTTTATGGATCTTAACTAATTGTAAAAAGGAGTAAACTAACATCATTAAAATCAAGTATTAAGCATGCAGGGTATTATATTAATATAATAAAAAATGATGACAAAAAAACAAAAAAAAACTTACAAATATACCATTTTCATGGCCTCAAAAAAGCAACACCATGTTGCATCAATTCCACACTACACATATTACATATTACATACGGCAAATATGGACACATCAACCCATACCAAAAAGATTATCATAAATAAGTGTTGATTGTTCCAAACCTAAACTAGACCATGTCACTGCAAAGACAACAACTTGTCAACCATTTCAGCTCCCCATATTGTAACAAGATTATCATAAAAAGCAGTCTTCTTGTCCTTGTCCATATTCGATATTTACAACAAAACTTCAAAACGCATCTCCCGCGGCAGCGACGGATCAAATCTGAAACTCCTTGCGAGGATCAGTAATAGGTAGACCCTCCTCTGGATCCTCGTTTGCTACTCTTACTACTATCACAATAATAATACACATAAGAACACCTACTACACAAATTAGCACATGCTCTTGTGAGGTATGTGCATTAGTTATTCCTAAGTTAAACAAAAAAATGGAAAAGATCCATGAAAGGAACAAAAATATCCTGATCGGCAAATCCATCCAAAACCTGTTCAAAAAATAAAAACAGAAAAACAAAAAAAGAAAAAGCAAATTATTATTGATTATGATAGATACCAAAGCTAAAAAATTAGTACATATCTAGGGGTCGACATTCATACTTCTTTCCACAAATGAACTCTTCTAACAAATTTATCCAAAAAAAAAACTCTTCTAATATGAACATGGAATTTGCCACTTTAAAAAAAAAATTAGCACGTTCGCACCTGACTCATTATTTTGTAACAGATTGCCATATATTGTCTATTTTCCGGCTATTTTTGCCGGAATTTATAACGTGTGCATTGAACATGACTCTGGGCATAATTATATTTTCAAATTAAATACTTTAATCTGTAATTTATTCTCATCTTCTTCTTTCTTTCCCTCCATTTTTTATTCTCTTCTTCCTCCGTTTTCTTAATCACCCAAACTCATCGCCAATTTCAGTCATTGCTCAAAAACGTAACAGTCATCAACCCTAAAATGGTGTTACCTTCAAATGGTGTTGGACTCATAATCTAAAAGGGGAAAAACAGAATATAAATGGTGTTACCTTCAAATGGTGTTACCTTCAAATGGTGTTGGACTCTTTGCGTAATCTAACGGGTCGGGTCTCAAATAACAAGAACATCTCCCAAATTGAAAAACCCTAAAATTTTCTGATTTCACAGGAGCAACGATTCTGCGCAATTTTCAATCGGGACTGTTCAGGAAAAACAAATTCTGCTCTCCGACACTTCGATTTCGGTAGGCGAGTGAGTTTTCACTGTTCGCTGATTCACCATGAGCTGTTACGCACTTCGTCGCAAAAATCTAGCTTTATTTCTCTACCTCCAGTTGCAGTAAACCGAACACCCCAGCGGTTTATGATTTCTTAGTGCAGAAACATAAACTCTCCCATGTAGTTGCTTCACACGTTTCCTCTATTTATGATCTTGAAAATCAGACCTCGTTTGCTGTCGGCAACTCTCGAAAACGGCACTCGAAAACGGCACTTCTTCTTTTTACTTTTCGTTTGCTTTTGTTATCTTCTTCCCTTCTTATTCATTCCCGATACATTGATATATTATAATATTAACTTAAGTTGGGGATAGCTGCAATTGTAATTTGTCAATGTACAGGATACGCCATGTATGTTATATCGGAATGTAATTTGTTCATTGAGTTATTTAAGTTAGGGTTAAATACAAATAGCACCCCTGTATTATCACCACTGTCGTATTTGCCCCCCTAAACTATCAAATGCGACAAAAAGACCCCTCTCTTTTTCTCACTTTTTCCTTATTTTCAAAATTCGAACACCCCCTTCCCCCAACCCTAAACTTCGATTTTCTTTCCAATTTCGTCTTCAAACTTGCATATTCTTAGGTTTTCATCAACTATTAACGATTATTGCTTAAAATGAGAGTGTTGAACTTTAGCATTTTACCCCCTCGTACTCTTAATTTTATCGATTTACCCCCTTGTACTTGTACAATTTCCCAATACAACCAATGCAAAAATTCACAAGAATCGTTTTAGCATAATATGACTCGACCCATGCAAAAATTCACAAGAAGTTTGAAATTAAGCATAATAATATCTAAACATTGGTTCAACCAATTATACAAGCCTTTAAATCCCAAAATCAAGTACCTAATTACGTACAAGCAATAAGAATTGAAGAACCAAGGGACAAGAATTCGAATTTTCAAGCAAAACTAAAATTCGGACAAGAATTCGAATTTTCAAGCAAAACTAAAATTCGTAGAACCAAGGGACAAGAATTCGAATTTTCAAGCAAAACTAAAATTCGTAGTATCAATAATACATACCGAAAGTCTTTTAGACACAAAAAGAAAGTGATGGAAGAAATACGTAGTAGCATCAATAAAATCACCCCATCAATTACAAAAATGCCAAAAAAAAGAGGTGATTCTAACTAGATTAAAACATTATATTTCTACAACATGTCTTTTTTTCGTTGCTTGCTTTTTCGTCTCCCACCCTAGAAAAAAAAGGACATGTTTGAATTTGTATCACCAACTCCTCTTGTTTTTCTTCGCATGTTTTTTCGTCTTTCACCCTAGACAAAAAAGACATGTTTGAATTTGTAATAATCAAGAAAAATAAGTATCGATTTATATTTGAATTCGTATCACCATAAATGCAAAAATCAAGAAAAATAATTACCGAACATATTTTTTTGTAAAAGTATCTTCATGGAGTTCGTTAGAGCTTCTTAACCGCCATCCAACGAAAGAACCAACAATGATACCAATAGTAAAATACAAAAACTCCTGATCCATTGGTAATGACCTAGATAACATATAGTGAAGAGAAAACCTGAGCAGAGCAAGAAGAAACTTCTTCTCTCTTTATGTGTTCTTCCGAAACCTGAGCAGAGCAAAGAAAATATGAGTTACATAGTGCAAACTAATTTTAAGAAATAGAAAACTAATTTTATTCACTTTCCATAAGAAATAGAAAACTAATTTTATTCACTTTCTAAATGGATATATCTCTTTGTCAAAATTAAATTTGTTGGGCTTTTCTTATGAGTTTACATTTTTTTTTAATTTAATTAACTAGGGCAAAATAAAATATTATATTAAATATAAATACTAATTTTTATTTTAAATTTGAGGAAGAAAAAATAGGTATAGTGAAGAGCAAACCTGAGCAGAGCAAGAAGAAATTTAATCAATTCAAATATGAAACCCAAACCTAACTTATATATATATATATATATATATATATATATATATATATATATATATATATATATATATATATATGTATATATAATGTAAACAATTCAAATATGAAACCCAAACCTAACTTATATATATATATATGTATATATAATGTAAATAATTCAAATATGAAACCCAAACCTAATCAGCATCAACGCAGTAACTGGATTTGATTTGACGAAAACTAACAACATTATCGGACTGTTACGCTTCCATTCCCCTCGAGTTAGATGCAGTGAAACATCATCTGACCCATTCCCCTCGAATTAAGCTAATATCACGGCAACGGTAAAAAAAAAGGAAAAGAAACGGCAGCTTCATGGTTTTCGAAAAAAAGAGGATTTGGAGAGCGAATTAGGGTTTGAGAAAGAAGAGATTGAAGTGTGTAGGATATTTTCCATTTTATACTGCTTTTTTTTTTCCGAGGAAATTTTTTATTATTATACTGCTTTTTTTTTTTCCGAGGAAATTTTTTATTATTATACTGCTTGCACGGCTTATAACATTTTCCTTTCATTTTCCTATATGCGGATATAACATTCACGGCGTATATTATAAAATTGGGTTAACAGCAGTTTGCCCCCTAAACTTAGGTCGTTTTTGCACTTGGCCCCCCAAACAAAAAAAATTGGGACGTTTTCACCTAAACTCATTAATACATTGCACGGTGGCCCCCGAACAATATTTTCCGGCAATTTAGGCCGGAATCTTTCGGTTTAATTAAGTTGTACTATCAAAAACATTTACGTGTACGAGAAGCCGTATTGACAAGTACTATATATAAATATGACCAATACCAACAATAGGAGGGACGTAATAAGGGAGACAACTTAGAATAAGTAATTCAAATATGACGTATAATTTTCTCAATAATGAGTGATACCATTAATTTTCACTTTCATTTTTGCAAAAAAGAAAAAAATAATAATAAAAAAAAAGTAAAAAAAAAAACGGTTTTTTCCCAACTTAAATACTAAAGAATAAAGAATCCAAAAAGGAAAAAAAAAGATAAATTCATCTTACTATAATTTTACCTAATTTAAATACTCACAAACCTACACGACATTGTCTAATTGTCAATAAATATCAAATCTAGTAAATATTTTAGTACGCATTGCTTGGTATATATATGATTTTATAATAATATGATTTGAATACATAGTGCAAACTTTTTCTTAAAAACATAAATGATCGATGGTGTATCAAATAATGTATATCGGCATCAATCCTTGTCGGGCCAAGGGATGGGGGCCCTTGGGGCGAGGGATTCGCCTTTGGTGCAAATAATGTATAGCGGTGGTCAGTGATTTTGACATATTTGTTTTAAAGTTTCCAACGTACCACATCTCGCACACATTTGTACCATCAGTAACATTTACGTGTCCGAGAAGCCGTATTGACAAGTACTATATATAAATATGAACAATACCAACAATAGGAGGGACGTAATAAGGGAGACAACTTAGAAGGTGGTCAGTGATTTTGACATATTTGTTTTAAAGTTTCCAAAGTACCACATCTCGCACACAGTTGTACTATCACTAACATTTACGTGTACTAGAAGTCGTATTGACAAGTACTATAATGAGTGATACCATTAATTTTCACTTTCATTTTTGCAAAAAAGAAAAAAATAATAATAAAAAAGAAAGAAAAAAAATGGTTTTTTCCCAACATAAATACTAAAAAATAAAGAATCCAAAAAGGAAAAAAAGATAAATTCATCTTACTATAATTTTACCTAATTTAAATACTCACAAACCTAAACGACATTGTCTAATTGTCAATAAATATCAAATCTAGTAAATATTTTAGTACGCATTACTTGGTATATATATGATTTTATAATAATAAGATTTGAATACATAGTGCAAACTTTTTCTTAAAAACATAAATGATCGATGGTGTGTCTAATTGTCAATAAATATCAAATCTAGTAAATATTTTAGTACGCATTACTTGGTATATATATGATTTTATAACAATATGATTTGAATACATAGTGCAAACTTTTTCTTAAAAACATAAATGATCGATGGTGTATCAAATAATGTATATCGGCATCAATCCTTGTCGGGCCAAGGGATGGGGGCCCTTGGGGCGAGGGATTCGCCTTTGGTGCAAATAATGTATAGCGGTGGTCAGTGATTTTGACATATTTAATTTGTTTTAAAGTTTCCAAAGTACCACATCTCCTACACAGTTGTACTTTCAGTAACATTTACGTGTACTAGATGTCGTATTGACAAGTACTATATATAAATATGAACAATACCAACAATAGGAGGGACGTAATAAGGAAGACAACTTAGAATAAGTAATTCAAATATGACGTATAATTTTCTCAATAATGAGTGATACCATTAATTTTCACTTTCATTTTAATAAAAAAAAAAGAAAAAAAATGGTTTTTTACCAACTTAAATACTAAAGAATAAAGAATCCAAAAAGGAAAAAAAGATAAATACATCTTACTATAATTTTACCTAATTTAAATACTCACAAACCTAAACGACATTGTCTAATTGTCAATAAATATCAAATCTATTAAATATTTTAGTATGCATTACTTGGTATATATATGATTTTATAATAATATGATTTGAGTACATGAATCGAATCGTAAATCTTTTAATATTTAGGAATTTTATTTGAAGTTCATAAATATTTATTTTTATAATATTTTATAGTACATGATAAAAAAAACCAAAACAAAACTAATATATGCACGGAGTAAAATAAAATTAGTTCAGCAGGTGGGACCCTGCTGAACTTCTTCACTGGCCTGAGTCGAGCACCAACAAAATTCAACCAAAACTTGGCTTCCCGGGACAGTTCGTAGCCGAGGATGGCTGAATTGTCGTCTGGGGATTATTTTTTTTTTTAATTTTTATTTTTTTTTGTAATTACATAGAACATATTGACGAAGGGGTATATATAATGTGTCAAGAGAGTTTTTGATTTGGATAATTGATAGTTTCTGGGCTTTATTATGCTCCTTTATTGATTAATATTGTTTGGATTACATACCTATTATACTCGGAAGGAAAAAATGAGGAATCGTACATTCGAATACCTTCAACATATACACCATAAACCTCACATTGCGAATAAAATTCCCATGACACAGAATATGTGAGGAACCTAAATAGAGCCAATCGTCTGCAAAGTTCTATATACTAATTAATACTAGTTATTTGGAGAAATAAATACATAAAACATAAGATCAGGGCTGTGAAAATTAAACGTTTCATCAAAATCAGTTTCTTTTTCAACAATAGAACCTGGGTTGCTAATTTCTCCAAATCTTTTTCACATGCATTAAGCCTTGTCAACATGGCAGACATAACCTCAGATGAGCGTTCGCAATTCAACTCGTCACACCATTTGAAGAATTTACAACGATTTCCCTAAAAAAAGGGGTTTAGATAAAATCAAACTATTGAAGGAACAATAAAGATGAGAAGCAACTAAAATAACCTACCTCATTCATTGAACAGCAAAAAAAACGTCTTCCTGGGTTTTTTTCGGTCCGCGAGGTTCTAATTGTCGCGTCAATTCCACAATAACAATGGAAATTTAACCCCTCATATGACGGCATAGATGAGCCGCCTTCAGTGGATGTACAAGTTGCCCTATTGCGTCGTGTGCTTGAACTAGAACTCATTATATATGATTATTACGAAAACACTAGCAAAATAGTAGAAATAGTTAGAAGAGTAAACGCACAGCGATTTCTGTCTATTTACCACAATTGGACAGAAATTTGACTTCCACAATCACCATGATACCCGTGCATAATTAAGACAATAACCGGAAATAAACTCGAAGAACAAGTTAATTCGGATCAAAATTGAAAAATCCCCAAACACTGAAATTAGGGTTCTTACCTGATTATTACGAAAACACTAGCAAAATAGTAGAAATAGTTAGAAGAGTAAACGCACAGCGATTTCTGTCTATTTACCACAATTGGACAGAAATTTGACTTCCACAATCACCATGATACCCGTGCTTAATTAAGACAATAACCGGAAATCCACTCGAAGAACAAGTTAATTCGGATCAAAATTGAAAAATCCCCAAAAACTGAAATTAGGGTTCTTACCAATAGTGCAATCATACAAACAAAAATGGCTAAATCACCACATCATCAAATGTTTCTTAAATAAAAAGATTACCCAAGAACTTGACCCCAAAATAAAAGATAACAGTGCTAGGGACAATTCCTAAAAATGAGTTCTTGTTCAAATTCAAGCAAGAGATTGGAGTTAATTCGAACTAAAAATCAAATTTCTGAAATCCACGCCGAAGAACAAGTCAATTCGGATCAAAATTGAAAAATCCCCAAAAACTGAAATTAGGGTTCTTACCTTGGATGTAGGCCTGGAGAATCGGGAGGCGCAAGTGGTGGTGGTCGTCGGAGAATTGGGAGGCGCTACTGCTGGTGGTGGTCGTCGGAGAGCCGAGATGCGCTAGTGGTGGTGGTCGTCGGAGAACCGGGAGGCAGTGGTGGTGGTGGTCTCGGAGAAGGCGCTGAATCGGGAGGTGCAAGTGGTGGTGGTCGTCGGAGAATTGGGAGGCGCTACTGCTGGTGGTGGTCGTCGGAGAGCCGAGATGCGCTAGTGGTGGTGGTCGTCGGAGAACCGGGAGGCAGTGGTGGTGGTGGTGGTATCGGAGAAGGCACTGAATCGGGAGGCGCAAGTGGTGGTGGTCGTCGGAGAATTGGGAGGCGCTACTGCTGGTGGTGGTTGTCGGAGAGCCGAGATGCGCTAGTGGTGGTGGTCGTCGGAGAACCGGGAGGCAGTGGTGGTGGTGGTCTCGGAGAAGGCGCTGGAAATTGGGGTGTAGCGGAATTTAAGTGAAACTGAAATTTACAGTAATACCTGAACCCACAAGCCTGAATTTTCTCGAGAAATAAACAGAGATGGAGATGATGCGGCAGTGACGAGAGAAGAAAATGCAGACAGAAGAGAGAGAAGAAAAAAAGAGCATAAAAAAAAATATAAAAAATATGTGTGCTGAATAATAATAAATGTAAGTGGCTAAAATCGAAAAGAAATTTTTTTTCAAATTAGCGTAGTGAATATCAAGATAAATATAATTATTAATGTTAATATAATTATTTGCAGATATTAATTTTTTCTTCAGCCCATTAAATTTCACTGGCCCAATTATTCTATAATTCTGAAGAAGAGACCAACCCATATCACTTGTGATCCAGTCCATTAAATATTTAATTTAATTAAAGTGGGGAGATAAATGAAAGTTAAAATTAAGTGTAGGGATTTTAAAATAAATTTTTCTTCAGCCCATTAAATTTCACTGGCCCAATTATTCTATAATTCTGAAGAAGAGACCAACCCATATCACTTGTGATCCAGTCCATTAAATATTTAATCTAATTAAAGTGGGGAGATAAATGAAAGTTAAAATTAAGTGTAGGGATTTTAAAATAAAGAAAACCCTAAGTTGGGAAAAAATCATTATTAATTCATAATAAATATTTATATGTTAGTAATTTATTAAATATTTAATTTAATTAAAGTGGGGAGATAAATGAAAGTTAAAATTAAGTGTAGGGATTTTAAAATAAAAAAAACCCACAAAAATATGATTCAAGACAAATAAATAATATTTATAATATGATATGTTGAGCTCATTAGATTTTGTGAGTATTTAAATTAGGTAAAATTATAGTATAGATTGTGTAAAGATGAATAAAATTTACAGTAATACCTGATATTGTTGATCAAAGAATCTATAGTTTACATATAGCAGGGAAGACTTCGAGACGAAGAAAAAGGAGCTGTATGCAATTATTAATAATAATTTTATTATTATTATTAATATTGATATTCCAAGGAAAAAACCAAAACAATAATTTTGAAAGTGCTTTCTCAAACAGTGAAAAAACAAAAGAACTCGTCATATTGAAGAGAGAGAGTAGAGAGAGAAGATGGAAAGAGTTCGGCGTCTTCTTGGATTCTGAGCCTGATTCTTTCTCTCTCTCTCTCTATACATATGTGTATATACATATTAAATATCTTTTATTTTACTACTTCGTTGTTATTTTTACTGTTCGTCTTATTATTATTATTATTATAAGTCTCCAGTCATATTTCATCGAATTATGATCATCACGATACGGAATATAAGATATTATCCCACTAATTTTAAAAATATTGTTTGTTGCACCCATTCATTTCTTCCCATTTTCCTTTAATAATAAACTCAGCCCTAACATTCTCGGATAATTACATTTCCACCCGTGAATATTCTCAAACCCTAGCGCCGCCGGGTGAAAATCAGCGCCACCAGGTGACACAATCTTCCCGAAAACGTTGTCAATACGTGGGAAGAAAAGAGGTGGCACAAGGAGGGAGCTTTAACTAGGTTTGGTGTATTTATGGGGAAAATTGCAATTCAGTCCCCTAATTGAATGGAGAAGAGGGCTTCTTTGAAAATTAAGGGAACTGAATTGAAAATATTAAAAACGAAGAACAAATATATAACAATTGGAAGTTCTGGGGTGGATTTGCAATTTTTCACAGGGGTTATTTGAGAATTATAGATTACATAGTGGTGAATTTTATAATTAAACCGAAATGCGGAGTGGGTTGGGCTCTGCAGCACTGGAGCACAAGTGCTATGGGTTGGTCTCTTCTTCAGAATTATAGAATAATTGGGCCAGTGAAATTTAATGGGCTGAAGAAAAAATTAATATCTGCAAATAATTATATTAACATTAATAATTATATTTATCTTGATATTCACTACGCTAATTTGAAAAAAAATTATTTTCGATTTTAGCCACTTTTATGAATTAATAATGATTTTTTCCCAAGTATTTAAGAATAATGATTTAATTAATCACACTTAAACTCACTGTAATTGGCGCTCAATTCCCGACCTTTCTTCTTCGTCTCCCCCAATTATTTTCTCCTTTCTTCTTCGTCTCCCCTTCGTCTCCCCCAGTTATTTTCTCCTTTCTTCTTCGTCTCCCCTTCATCTCCCCCAATTACCCAGATAACCCGAAACCCCAGAGTATTTTCAATCCCAGTTGTTCAGATATTAGGTTCCTTTCTTCGACTCACAAGCAAAACGAAAAAAAATCCAAAATACAATCTGCAATCTGCAACCTTTCGACTCACAAGCAAAGATATCAGGTTTCTCAGGTTAGTTTCGTTGTTTATGTTTTGGTTTTAAGGTTGGATTTCTAAAAAATAAAAATCCAATTTGAACCCTAATATTTGAGTCTAATTGTTTTCCAATTTGATATCAGATTTCTCAGGTTATTATTTTTTAATAATGTTAGATTTTTATTGTTTTAATTAACTTGTAAACATTATTTAGATATTTCATGTTTAATGTATATGTAATGTCTGTTTATGTTCGAGTTCGAGTTCCGGTTCATTCCTTATATCACACTGTTTTTTAACTAATCCTCTTAATCCATGATTTGGTTAATAATCACATGTAATGTCTGTTTATGTTCGAGTTCGAGTTCCGGTTCATTCCTGATATCACACTGTTTTGTAACTAATCCTCTTAATAACTAATCCTCTTAATCCATCACATGTATAACTCAACTTTGATGTGCTTGACTTTGATGTGCTTGACTTTGTAATATATGGCATACAGGATTAGACGAGAGGGTTGACTTTACGTAAGTGGTGTTTATAGATAATGCTTACGTAACTGGTGTTTATAGATAATGCTCGTTAAGTTGCTTCGATATTTCTATGGAAGTTGTGTCAGAATGCTCGTGAAATATCACACTGTTTTTTAACTAATCCTCTTAATCCATGATTTGGTTAATAATCACATGTATAACTCAACTTTGATGTGCTGGACTTTGATGTGCTTGACTTTGTAATATATGGCATACAAGATTAGACGAGAGGGTTGACTTTACGTAAGTGGTGTTTATAGATAATGCTCGTCAAGTTGTGTCAGAATGCTCGTGAATACAAGTTTTCCACATATATACATACATTTTGTTTGCATGTATGAATTTTGGTAATTGAAATTAGTAGTTTGTGTTCTGTCCTGTTTTATGTTAATTTTAGATTAGTTTATTGTTGTATGCAGTTTGGTATTTGAAACAGGGAAATTAGTACTGTGCAATTTTGTTCTTAGTACTTTGTGATCTGTCTTGTTTTGCAGAAATGGCCTATAATGAGAAGTGTGTGCATTATTCCCGTTGTTCGCCCTCGAGCTTCAGGGATACGATTGATAAAGTAAAATTGAAGATGGGGACTGCACAATTGAAGGCTATCAAAAGCACTCCATTTGGAATTTTTCTGGATATGCCAAACCTTAGTCACAGTTTGACTAAGGTGTTAGCCCTGATGAGACGTTTTAAGCCTAATACAATGTCGTTTAGTTTTGGGGAAGCAATTCATATACCTTTTGAAGCCTCGGAGTTTTCTATGGTGATGGGGTTGCGGTATATGGGGCAACCTATTGACTTACAATTGAAGCTGTTGCGGAAAAAAAGAAAAAACTTTTAGAAATGAATTAGCTGACCTATTAATAGATTTAGCTTGTAAGGATGATTGTATAGATGATTTTTGTAGAACATACATTCTTTTCGTTTGTAACTGTATATTATTTCCTCAAGGAAACTATTCGACTCCGTCGTTTATCTTTCCGTATTTAGAGGATTTGTCAGATTTAGGTTCTTATGCGTGGGGAAAAGCGGTGTCCGATTACTTGATCGGTGAAATGAGGGTAAATGTAACTGGAAAGAAGACGTACGTCAATGGTTGCACGATCGGATTACTAGTAAGTAATATAGGTTTTAATATCACTTTTTATTTGTATTTTGATTCTTTATTTCCATAACATACGCATTTTTATAAAATTGGCAGGCTTGGTTTTATGAAAGGGTCCCCTCTATCGGGTCCCCGACAAGCTTGAGCCGATTCCCTCGATTTTTCCGGTGGGACAGCAGCAAGACAGGCCGAGAGGAGTCGAAGTTTCAAAAAGCACTAAGTGAACTTACAGCTGAAAAGGTACCACTAGTTTATTTTCTCTATTTAATGCAAAATTGTGAAGCACATTGATAACAATTTGTGTTAATTATTTGTTTACTTAGGTTGTTTTGTTTATTTTAAAATCCGAAGAGAGCAAGTTGATCAATCTTCCAGCCACTTGTTTGGATGATTGCACAAAGAGTGGATTTAACGGAGCAGAAGTTCTTCTCGAAGCGAGAGATAATGAAATAATAATTTTGAAGAAGCAAATTGAGGAGCTTCGTCAAGCTAGAGATCAAGAACTTGCTGTTGCGAATAAATCTAGGGATTTTGAAGAGCAAAATGACTATTTTGTCGATGAAGAGTGCAATGCGCTGATCCCATCTGTAAGATTTCAAAACTTCCGGTCTTAGAGTTTTATTTCCCGATTTAATTTTTACTAAATGCATATTAATTGTCGTGTTTTATTTTACATAAAGGAATTTGGTGATAAAGAAGATGACGAGCATGAAGAAGAGAGGGGGGTGGAAGAATGCGGAGAAGATGAGAATGAAGAAGAAGAAAAAGAAGAGGAACCACATGCTCCTAGTCGGTATCCAAAACGAAATCGTAGACCGACGAGGATGGATGACTTTTCATATTCAGCTACACCAAGAGACCAAGCTGTTAAAGGTGAATTTGTGTGTTCTATTTGTATTTTAAAGTACTTATACTTGAAGCAGATAACATTTACGGATTATATTTTTGTATATTTTTTTCATGCACTAATATTTTTCTTAAACTTGTGTGTACGACAAAGATCCCGAGAATCAGGTGGAGGAAGAGAGAAGATATAAACAACGGCCAAAAGATATACAAGGTAATCCTATTTCCTATTTTGAAGT